AGTCGACGGGGGAGGGAGAGTGGAGGACTCGGGGGGCAGGAAATTGCGACTGAAAGTGGAACAATCGATTGAATTCCGATGGAACGTCCGAGGAAATCGACTTTAAGGGATTATTGATATGAGGGTTTTGGGTAATGATGCGGGGGCGGGATTGCACGGAAGTCATGCACTTCCGGGGAGGGTTTGAGGGTTTTCGGGGCGCGGGAGTGGGGGTTTGTCGGGTGATTTATCAGTTATCGGGGGTTTTTGAAGTATCGTTTGTGTAGGAGTTAGGGACGGTTCGCGGAAGCGACAGGGGCTTCGCAGATTATACGGAATTATCCGTGAAGTGGAGTTTCGGCGAAAGTCAGGGGTGATGGGGCGGGATAATTTATGTCAACTTCGGGAGGAGGTTTGATGATTGTGCGGGGTTTTAGGGGGACGGAAGGATACAGTTTCCTGGGAATTTTGAAAGAAGTTTTTTGGTTAAAGGATTAATGTTTTTTTAACACAGGGCACGTTGGTCTTCATGGCTGAATTTTCCGTGACAAATTCCGGAAATTTTTATCGTGCTCAAGTTCCACTGAAATTTTGAGAAACATCAAATATTCCATTGGTTTTCTGTTCAAATGATCGGGAAATCAATAAAGTACTTGATTTTTGTTCAATTATTCTGTGAAAATTCAGAAAAATCAAGAAAATTCAGAGAACAATTGAAAATTTGTGTCGTTTGGTTTTTGAATAAAATATCAATAACTTTCGTCGAGAAATTTGTTAAAAATTTGGAAAATGGGCGGCATTCTGTTACCCCGTAAGGAAAATATCGAAATTTTCATGAGAGGGATCTTCCTGATTTAGATGAATGAGGTCCTGATTTAGATTTTGAAGTCTGAAAAAAAATCTTCGAAATAAGAAAAAAAATTGTTCAATTTCACTCGAACAATCTGTAGTTATCGATGATTAAAAAGGGTCATTTTATCCTCCTTTGCAGAAAAGTAAATTGAGATATCTTTTGACGGAGTGATACCAGTTCGATGAATCAGGTCTCATTTCGAGATCTAAAAAATGCCTTTACAGTGAAATAAAAAACTGTTCATTGCACTCTGTCCAACTTGCAATATCTATAGGTAAAAAAGGTAATTTTACGTCCCTTTTCAAAAGAAGGAAATAAATCGATTTTTAAATATCATCAATATCTCCCGACGCAATGATAAGAGTTGGACAAATCAGGTTTCATTTTGAAGCCTGAAAAAACCCCTTCAAAGGGAGAACAACTCATTCGATTTCACTTTTCCAATCTTGAGTTATGAATTATTAATAAATAACATTTTACCAGTCTTTGGAATGGTGAAATGAAGTGGACCTTCTGGAATAATCAATATTTTTTGACAAAATTATACGTTTCGAATGAATCAGGTCACATTCTCAGCTCTGAAAAAATACCTTCACAATGAAAGAAAAAAAAATACATTTCACTCTAAAAATCATGAATTATTGATGATTAAAAAAGAACGTTTTACCTCTTTTCAGAAAGTTTGAATAGAATGGACCTTCTCGAATAATCAATATCTCTTGACAAAATTATACGTTTCGGATGAATCAGGTCTCATTTCAAGCTCTGAAAGAATACCTTCACGAATTATTGACGTTAAAAAAATAACCCTTTCCAGAAAAACGAAATAAAATCTTTTTCCAATCATCAACATCTCCCGGCGAAATTCCCCGATTCATAAAAATCAGATCTCACTTTCAAGCCTGAAAAAATCCCTTCAAAACAAGTAAACATTCACTTTCTCCGCAGCAGTCCCTCAAACTCCCTAGTCTCTCCCTCCAAAACTTCCCCATAAAAATCTTCGACCTCCCCAACCCATTCACCCCTAATCCCCCCTAAAATAGACGCAATTCGCCTCATGCATTCCTCCACTCCCTCCCCTCCCACCCCAATAACCCCAAGATAGGGTTGCAATCAATGATATAATTCCATCGATTTCCCTCCCCCAATCGCACTATTCCCCCCTTCAATTCCCAGAAAACTCGTATTCGTCATATCTACATCGAGTCCACAATCCGTCAATTATTAAAATTCATCGGGACCTTGCTCGAGTTATAAACCAGAGAGTGAGACTCGTCATGACGAGCCACCCCCCCTCCCCCTCTCTCTCCCCCCAGGGGTGAGCAGGGGAGGTGAGTAACAAATACAATGCCACGTTTGTCGCGCCGATGGACGAGCAGCGATCGATCATTTCATTCCAGTATTCTGGCTATACATTCGCGTTAGAACCTTGAGTGTATTGCTATCGCTCTCCTCCCCCTCCCCCCACTCCTCCCGCCTTTTTTCTTTCTCGGAATTGCCCTCTTCGCGATACTTCAGCAAAATGTGTGCCAATAAGAAAAAAATCCCCAGAAAAAAAAGGGTGGTGGGGGCAGAGGGGAAGGAGGGGGAAGCCTGAAAACACCCGAAAAAAAGTTTGAAAAAGGGTGTAAAAGAGGGGGTAGTAAAGTTTTCGCGTGTTTTCGTTTAAAAATTCAGGCCGCGCTCGAGTCTTTACGAGGCACTCTCGGGTGTCGTGTAAAATAGAGCGAGATAAAAAAATTGAAACAAGTAGAAAGAATGAAGAAGCAAGTTGAAGGAGAATAAAAAAAATTCGCCGGGTGGGGTGGGGCGAGGGGAAGGGGGGGAGAGGCCCCTGGGGTTTCAACTGGGAGGCCGCAGGACACCTACTGCAACTCTCGGATATTAGCGAGTACCAGCCAATAATGAACCTCCGAGCGTCTAATCGTGTGGATAACGAGTGTAAAGTGTATGGACGACATGGGGTAAAAGCGGTTGAAGGAATGAAAGGGAGGTCAGGAGTCACGAAAGAATAAGAGGGATACACGGAGGGGGTGGGGGGAAGAGTGAAGTGAGGGAACCACCTTGCGCCTCGGTGCTTGTGTATACTTATACACGTGTCTCGGGCTGTCTCTCTTGCTTTAATGGCGCGATGGATGCATCGCCATGCCGGAATTAGCGGAAACACCAGTCGTTTCTAATAATAAGCCAGTGTTGTTTTACGTACAACGTGAGTTATATTTTTTTTTCAGTCGGTCATTAGATTTCTTATCGTGATGTTGGGCGGAGAATAGTTTATTTCAATCGAAGGACATTTCGGGGGAGCGGGCTATTCGGGCGACGTGGGGGCTAAAATTAATTTCGATCGATTGATGGGTCCATTGAGATGGCAGAAGGGAATTCATCAGGTTTTAGCGGTTGACGACGTGTCATTCATGGGAATAACGGGTTTCTGGGGGGATTGTGGCCATTGATCTCGTTTGTTTAGGAGGAATTTACATTTTTTTGATCAAGGTATTATATATTCCTCGGCTTTTTTCTCGGAGCTTTTTCAGTGACGGAGAATTTTCTCAGGAATTCAATTTTTAGCATTATTTGACAGAACGAAATAATGTGCAATTTGATGACATTTCAGTTGATGATAGTACTATGGCATGAAAAAATAGAAAAAGAGAATAGTGAAATGAGAATAAAAAAAAGAGAAGCCGTGCGGAAGCAAATTGCTAATTTATTAGAAATAATAACTATGGTGATTTATTAAAAAATGCAATTCTCCACTTGTTTACATCAAAATCTCCGTCTCTATTAATTATTCGTGGTCCCGACTAACCTCTGACAGAACCTGGCTTAAACTCTGGCTAAATCCTGAATAAATCATAGCCAAAATCAACTTAAACCGTTTGACCACTTCGCTACTAAATTGAAAAAAAGAGAACCCATTGGGAAGCAAATTGCTAATTTATTAGTAACAATAACTATACTACTCATTTATGAAAAATGCAATTATGCACTTGTTTTAATACAAAGTGACATCTAAATTATGTTGAACAGTACAGGGAATTCGTCTAAAATTAATAACTATTCATCAATTTTTCGTTCATCATCCCCACGGAAAGAAATGTTCAGTAAAAATTATGGAACTCACAATTCGGTCACCGATTACGGAATCGACTCAGAAAATTTAAGTGACAGTATCGTAATTTTTCACAGGAGATTCATGTAAAAATTACGGAACGCCCTGGGAAAATTCCGTGACAGTTCCGTAAAATTTCTTACAACCCCATTTCCCTCCGGAATTACGAAAAAGATACGTAATTTTTATTGAATATTTCTCTCCGTGCATTCTCATAATGGATTTTCACAAGTCATGAAACGCAATGGATTTAATTTTCAGAAAACGATGATAGATTTTTAATAAAGACATTCTCTTCTTTGAAAAAAATGCAACTTCTTCATTTTGCACTTTTTATGCTCGACAATTCGTTCTGTCTCGCACTCAAAAGTTTCGTGGGAGGTCACGTACACCCACTGTATCCTCTCTCGCCCGCAGCATACAGCGTTGAACGCACCAATAATCATTAGTCACTCGTACTCAATATCTCGCTTCCCAAGATCCCTGCCTCCCTCCCCCGCCAGTCTTGTGTATGTGCAGTTGTATATTTGTGTCCACCCTCTCCCTCGTCACCTTCCTCTTCATTTTCCTCGCTCGTTGCCTAAGCGGAACACAAACGTCGCGCCGTTCAACGACGCGCAATGGGAATGTCAATATAGTTGGCTAGAATTTCCGTGGGTTGTTGCCCTCTAGGAGAAAAAATAATAATAAGGTCGTGATACTAATGGGTGTCATCTGAATTCATTCCGGGGGAATGATGACCGTGTCTTCTCGATTTTTTTCTCATGCCCGCCGACGATGCAGCACGTAATGAATCTCCGGAGCAGATGACGTCGCCATATTAGAACACCCCGGTCGCATTATATCATTAATTTTGTGATTAATACAGTAAATTGCCATAATCAAATTATTATTAATAGATGAAGCAGGAACTGAAAAACAGAGTTGAACCTGATAGTTAAGGATATCCAAGTGTCTTTTACAGTTTGGTATACACCACATTATAGATTCAGCTATTTCAATCATCAAATTTGTCAATTAAATTGCACGAGAAAAAATTGTAAAAAATCATGAATATTCGGTGTCATTCAAATGACATTTTGCACAGAATTATCATTTTTTAAACATCCGTTGTTCATAAATCAATAATTCAAATTGATTAAAAGTTCGGAAACTTAATTTTTTTAGGCGTGGATAAAATTCTGAATATGAATAAATTTGTTACGATTCGGAGCACATGATTTTTATGGTGGAAAATTTATTGTTTATTAATTATTGACAGAAACTGCTGGTAATTTTCCAAAAGAAAATTTTATAATTTTTCTCAGATTTTTAACATGTTTTTCAACGATTCAATATTGAGATTAAAATTCAGACCTGCAAAGTTTAAATAATAAAATCATTGTAAAATGTCCGGAAACTTAGGGTCAAAATGAAAGCCCTCATGATCGGGTACAAAAGTAGAAAAGGATTTCACGGGAGATGAAATAACTAAAGTATTTGGATATCCTTAAATGCGTCATTTTTAATCATCAATAACTTGCGACCGGTAGAGTGAATGTGCATATATTATCTTTCATTTTGAAGGTATTTTTTGAAGCTTCAAAATGAGACCTGTCTCATCAAAATCGGATCACCTGGTCAGGAGATATTGATGTTTCAAAAAAGTCAATTTTACCTCGCCTCCACAGAGAAGATAAAATTCACATTTTTCAATCCTCAATAACTTGAGATCGGCAGAGTGAAATTAACCAATTTTTCTTTCACTTTGAAGACATTTCTTCAGACTTCAAAATAACACCTGACTCATTGGAATCGCTTCATTTGCACAGGAGATATTAACGATCCACTCCATTCAGCCTGAAAAGCAAAAAGAGACTTCATGTCCTCATCAACTTCAACTAATTTTTCCTTTATTGAGCATCATTAGCGTGATTCCACGAAGCCCGAATCCTTAATTTACCCTGTGACTTGCCTAAATTATACCACCACCTGTCCTCACCCTCGGTAACTACGGTAAACAAAGACACCCCTTGTTTCACCTGGACAGATTGCAATCGATACACGAGGATAATAGTCGCCAAAAAATAAAGACTACAATTTAGCCTGTGCAAAGACAGGAGAATTTTTTTTCCCCTCCGCAATGCCTGAGTATCAGAACGCCCCTTAATCCCAGCGGTGGATGCATCGCATCGTGTCAGAAGGACAACAGTGGATGGTTGAATAAAAAAAAATCATCGCATATATACGAGTGAGGGTGAAAAAAAAGAGGCACGCGCGTGCCAAAAAGCCGGCCAGCTGTCCTGGACAATGGCGGGCCGAGGGCGCACATGCGTAAACACGATCCAGCGAAAAGTGCACAGCTGTCCTTCTGGGCTTTCTCAACATCATCCTTCAACCCTTTTTTTCAAACTCATTCGCTGGTTCTATCATCCCTCTCTCATCTTGCTCGAAAATTTTTATTCAGTGGATACTCCACCTCCACGCCTTCCACATCCGGTGCATTGTTGTCGAGTGTCCAGACGTGGTCCAGTTATGATTTAAAAATGAAGGAGATGATAAAATTGAAAAAGGAGAATTTAAAATTCCCAGGGGTTTGCGAACGGGAAAAATTTACTGAGAAGAGAAAGATTAGTTTAATGTCTTTTTTAAAATGCGTTTTCGGGTACATTTCGTGGAAATTTTTATCAAGTTATAGCTTCACTGACATTTCACTGATTTTTCTCATTGAAAATTCACTATTTGGTGAAACGTAGATTTTAGTTTGATTATTCCAAAATTTGGAATTTAATTGGTTCTTTAGTGAAATTTTACATTTCATGATTTTGGTCCCATTTTAACTGAAATTTCAAGGAATTTCGTCGTTCAAAAAGAAAAATTTTATGTAAAAATCAATGAAAACTGTAGATATCAGCTCAATCATTCAAAAAATTTGGAATTTAATTGGTTCTTCAGTGAAATTTTACATTTTCCGATTTTTCTTCCCTTCAATATCCTCAAAATTTAATTTTTTTCAAATTTCAAAATTTTACGGAAAAATCCCTGAAAACTGTCGACTTTAGTTCAACCATTCTACAAAAATGAATATAAATCAGTAAAATGCAGTTAAATTTAGTACTGACCATTCACATCTTCATTAAAAATCCAACCGACTCACAAATTCCTCCCCTTCCGCTCAAAAATTTCAAAATTTCTCGACGTCTCCGAGCAAACTTCACTGCCCCCCCCCCCCC